CCCGCCAAAACAAATCTCATCAGGCGCTTTCCTTCCAATCAACTCCAATTAAACTCCATTTCTTCTAAGTCGACTTTCCGATCTTCGACACCGTCACCACTGGCACTGCCACCACGTCGGCGTAACACATCCGCGCCACTTGGTTTTGATTGATTTTATCCCAATCCACCCTCAGTCACTCGTTTCTGGAAAGCGTGGTAGGTTGACAAATACAACGAGAGGTGATCAAAGGAAGGGGATCCGAGAATCATTCGTAGGAAGAGTTCGCAAATCGGTTATTTGGGATAGTTTTAGGGATTATGCGCAGCCAATACAGCGAATACAGCGAATAGAGTCGGCATAACGAAACGAGGAACGACAAACGCTGTCAGAACTGAAGAAGACCCGTCGATCTACATGTCGCCGCAATCGATATCGATCTATTTCAATTGCTCACATTCGCATGCACAATCGCATTGTTACCTTCAAGACCTAAATTGACTCGAACCCCGGACTCGAATTCGAATTCGATTGAACGCAAGCGATTACTTAGGCGTCGCGGCTCCTTTGAGTCGGCGCGCTACTAAGCCGTCATCATGTTGCGACCAGCTACACCCTTGACGGTGTTGCTCTTTGCAGCCTTCGCCATGCTGCTACTTGCCGTCCTGTCGACCCCTATCATCAAAGCGATTCCCCTGGGCACCTACAAAGGCGTCAACTTTGGGGTGTTTGGGTATTGTGAAGCAGACGGCCGGTGTAGTCCAATAGAGATTGGATATGATACATGTATGCCTACCCGAACTTATTCTTATAAAGAATCAGTTTGAATTATATCTAACATCTTTTCAGCGAAAATCTATTCTCCTACAGACTCGGCTACCTTCGATTTGCCTTCTACAACTAGGACAACTCTTTCCGCTATCCTCGTGGTTCATCCTGTTGCCTGTCTCCTTACTTTGGTGATGCTGGTACTTGCCATTGTCGCCCACCTTCATTCTCCTTCTCATTCGTCACGTTATTTGTTACTACTTTTTATCTTCGGCATTATCACGTTTCTAGTATGCCTCCTTGCCTTTTTAATCGACGTATTGCTTTTCGTTCCTCATATGGCCTGGGGCTCTTATATCGTTCTAGCTGCTACGATTCTTGTTTTCATGAGTTTCATTATTTCGTGCGCTATGCGACGCACCCTGGTTAATAGAAAGGCAAGAAAGAGGCGAATCGCAGAGAATGCCGAGATGAGTGGAGAGAATTACTACAACCGCCAGGCTCAACAAGAGGTAGTATCTCCCACGCCTGTTTCACGACAACCTACTGTTCCCGTTGTTAGCGGAGCGAACGGGCCAAGCGATGGATTTGCCTCGTTCGAGAAGAAGGACGATCGCAGCAGCGACGAACGTATACCTCTAACTGCTAGGACTCCTTCTGACAGGTCCCCGAATCATGCTCCTGCCGATACGAGCATGTCGGGTTTCACATATAACATGCCCCAACGGACAGGTTCTAGCAACTCGATGCCAAGAGACCAATATGGTAATCCGATGGAGCAGCCCCAGGATGGCTATAACATGAGACGAGGTCCGTCTTTCGAGCGTATGAACACAAGGGGCCGTGGTGGTCCTCCAGCTGGTTATAGAGGACGAGGAGGCTATGGAAGAGGGGGCTACGGTGCTCCCTATGGCCCACCGGGCGGAAGGGGTGGATACGGCCCACCGCCGAATGGAAGAGGCGGCTATGGTCCCGGCCGCGGTGGTTACGGGCCGCCACCTAATGGGCGAGGAGGTTATGGTCCCCGTAGAGGCTATGGTCCGGGCGAGATGAGAGGTGGAAGAACACCGCCACCAACTTACCCAGGTGGTGGACCATATGATCGAAGACCATCTCCGGCTAACGGCTATGGTGATTATGGTCCAGGACGGCAAGGGTCACCGGCGGTACCAATCAACTACTACGAAGCTGAGCCGCCCGTGCCGAGTATCCCAGTTGGTATGGCTGAAGGAGCTAATTACCAAGCATATAAGCCGGATCGTGCTAGTGACCTACCCCGAGCAGAGTCCCCTCCTCCGATGCCTGGTATTGATGATGCGCACGAAAGACCTGTAGGTCAAGCCGTGGAGATGGATGCTTCTACGGGAAGCCCCGCTCACCCACCTCAAGGCTTTGGCCAGTTCAACAACCAACTTAGGGATAGCGATGCGGACGTAGCCGGCATGTTAGCCCTGCAGCAGGCAAGGACATCCTCTCCAAACCGTCACGACACTTTTATGAGCGAAGGAAGCAGATATAGCCAAGAAAAGTTTGTTGAATCATCGATAAAATAGTTGCACTGCTAACATCATAACTAGTCAATATGTTCCTCCTCGTCAGGGATGGCGGGGACCCGAGCGGCCGTCCCAGGTACCTTCTCCTCTTCAAATTCCAACCCGCCCTCAAGAACTTAGCAGCGGGACGCCTCCTCCTCCTCCGCAACCGCAACCGCAACCGCAACTGCAGCCTCAACCGGTGACTGTCGGTACGGGCAATTATTATGAAGACGTAGATCCTCGTTTCGAAGAGCCAGCTTCCAAACCGCAACAGCTGCAGCAACCGCCGCTGCTACACCAAGATGGAATAAGTTATGACGATGTACCGCCTCAACCTATGAGTCCAGCGATATCCGAACAGTCGGGATTTACTTCTATTTCTCAAAGAGGCATAAACCCTCGCTGGAACCCACCTCCCGGCCAAGGATACAACCAGCAAATGCCACCACGAAAGCCAATTAGCCGAAACGAAGTGAATGTTCTTAATAGTAACCCTGACTTCCAGCTGCCAATGGTACGCGGGGGGGCACGCGGGGGGCCAAGCGGGAGAGGAGGCATGATCCCTGGAAGCGCATATCCAGGTGTATAGAGACTTGCATTCAATTCTTTCTCGTTCGTTGAGTCATGGGGCTGCTCAGGTAGCTTTAAAACGCACTCGGATGCGTAGGAATCCCTTGTGGTTGATCAAAACACATGCTATCCAAGCACTCACGATCTGACTTTACAGTCGGTATCCCCTTTCCTATCCTCTATCCTGATATACCCACACGCACAGGAAACTTTCAATTCGACATGAGACATATTTAACTCATATTTTAACCTTTGTCGGCGTTATAAACGCGGATTTTCTTGAACAACATATTACGAATGATAGGCGGAAATCATCCGCCATCATTAGCGGACCTCTAATTTAGTCGCGTATCTTCGCGGGCCGGGTAGATCAAAAGAGGTTATAGGTAGTGCTTTTCTAAAGCCTCGAGGCAACGTCCGAAGACCAGTCTCTACCGCCATTGATTGGATGGGAGCTTGGAGATGCGACGGTATAGGGTGTGGCAATGGGAGGAAGGCCAGCCCTTTCAAATTCTCTGGATGTGTCAGGAGTTATGTCTGATAATGGACTTCGTTTGCGGCTAGTCTATGATGTATGGGTAGTAGCCACATGCAATCAGAGGCAAGCAAGCATTTTTTTGCCTTCTGCGCGAGTACGCAAACAATATTAGTGAAAGCGAAGAAAAGAACGTTCAAAATATGAGCGCGTTCGTGTCTGTTGCCCGTATACGTGCGTCTTCTAATGAGTGTATATACTTCGTTTGCTGTTGCTATACATATAATTAGCAAGTAGCAAGTAGCATTAGGAAGAAACTTATTGGTTTTCTAGCCCCTTATATTAGAAAACAGACTCACGATTATTGAATTCATTTTATTGCATAGCATAGAAGTCATGAGAGACGTAGCCTCACTATTCGGTGAAAAGACTCACCTATTCATATATTTGCCATTCGGTGAGTATTTCGACTCCTCGTTCTAGATGTTACCGCGCCGCAACTATCCCAAGGTCGAGAACGGCCTTTTACTCATCGTGTTTCCTTATGTATAACAGTATCATATCTGTTGAATGAGAGCCCCTTTCCTTCTTTTATAGCTGTGTGTAAGTGTAATGTAAGTACTCTCTAGGGTTGAGAAGTTACTGGTGAATTATTTGTCGACCCTGGTTGAAGAATTAAGACAGGTACCGAATAGACATTCCAAGATATCGCTGAAGGATGGTTTGGAATAGAATGTAACTGTTGTGATAGATGCAGAGCTAGAAGGATATCATAAGCATAGATCACATCCGCCATTCCGCGATAGAATGACAAATCGGACAACTTGTGTAATAACAGCCATCTCTTCCGCAGATGAATAGTATGTTGCAACCTAAAGGTATCCAAACATGCGCTCCTTTCATGTAAGCTGAGTCAATTTCAAAAAATCTAACGGCGAAATACAGTCGTGTATATATGTATACTCTCGCAAGCGATGTGATTTGAGATAATCGCATGGCTGAGTTTCTGGAAGCCGACTTCGATGCAACGTGACGCCCTCCTTTATAAAATGTCGGGACGGCCCCCATTCTTAGTCTAGCAAATGAAAGCATCGATATAGACAAGACGTCTAAAATAAGAATCCCATACTAATATATGATCATCAACTCCGCCTTTGAGGTAGTTACACTAAGTCAAAGACCAGTTATCACAAGACTTCCAAATCACAAGAAACAGTACTGTGAGCCGCTGTTGAGGCTCCCTTTGACATTTCCAGGGTATCTCGCGGCTCGGCTAATGACTAAAACACGAGCGAGCTGGCCGGGCAAAGTCCTACTTACGGTGTGGTGTCAATACATCGCGTCTAGCTGGGCTTCTCGGCCAAATAGCCGCCCAATTAAGTGCTCGTCCGGATCAACCTGTGCTGTTAAGCGGGTTAGGCGGAGGGGGTTAATCAACGGCGGCGCGCGAGGCGTTCAGAGGGTATAGTGGCGATCGGCATGAGCAGTGCCTTGTTTATCTGGGTACTGGTTTCGACAATATGTGCTGACGGGAGGGAGAGCATCGTGAGATGAGATGGAGTTAGATAAATAGATTAACTAGCCTGATAAACGCAAATCTCTTTAAACTCCTAAAAAAACCGACACGATACCACCAAATAACCATCTACACAGCGGCCAAGAGCTCTACCGCAATGTGCCGCAACACTCACCACGCAAACCAAGCCGAACACCCTCAGCTCCAAGTCACCGTAACTACGATGACAGTCCTAGGAGAACTATACAGCTTAAAGCAGGGCGGTCTTTTCCTCCCCGTAGCCGAAGACACCAACAACACCACAGCCGGCAGATGCTGCAGCTGCGCCGGGAATCGCAAACGGAAGAGCCTAGTCGCAAGCCTAGCCGAGCTACTCAGCAAGCCCTGGACCGTTCGGGAGTGTCGAGTCGTGATGAACGAGTGGGATATGTTTATGGCACCGCGAGTACAGCCAAGCACACTCCCGACAGTATGCCAGCATGGGAGCGCGTCGCCGTTTACTGCGTCTCAGAGATGTAACGGAGATAGGGGGAGGGGGAGAGAGACGGGGGTTATTGAGTTGGAGGGGAATCATACTTATGAGCATAGTCGACGTTGATATGTGGCTATGAGGGCTATTGGTAGTGAATAAATAGTAGTACGGCGGGATAGATATTATGGAGTAGGTAAAATGAGGCGTAAATGGGATAAATATAGAATAATAGGAGCACACGCACATTTCAGGAGATAGTGAATTATCATAGACTTGAGTTTGAGATTTGAGCCTGGAGCTGAAGTCTGGTTTTTAGAAATTGGGGGAGCCCCTATTTGGAGGCTTAATGGGTGCGACGACGAGGTTATGAGGGTATTACCATCTAACCTAGTAAATTATCGACAAGGGCCTGGAATACTCATTAAAACAGCAACGAAGAGATTAAAGGGCCCAAAGGCTACACCCCTACTTTATAACCTGGGTCATTATTGAGAATGAGTTTAATACTCTGAAGCTCGTCTCGACATGTGAGGAATTTAAAGTGGAATATTGCACCCAGTCACGAACTCGAAAATAATTCTTGGCATTTGGTATATTTTTATCATTCCTAGGCATTGCCTATGTCCATCCATGCCTTGCCATGCACAGAAGATCGAGATTCCAGGCCGCGAAAAACCCCTAATGCGATGAGAAAAGAGCAACCGGCAGAGAACCCAGAAACACCATCACCACCACCACCACCACCACCCACGCACCACCATCATCTGATTTACCCTTCTTAGATGGTCGTCTCGTACGCGATGGGTGTCACCGTCTCAGGGTGGTTGTCCTTCATGGACACCGTTCGGGCGTCGCGGGGAAGAGCGGCTTGTCGCTTGACGGTGACGGTGGTGCCGTCGGCCTTGGCTTGCTTCTTGAGCGCGGCATTCTGCTTGACGCGCTTGAGGAAGTCCTCTCTTGATCGCGATCGGGTGATGTGCTCGATGCGGACGTTGATTCGCTTCTCGATGTACCGGTGCTTCACCTTCTTGTAGATAATGACGCCAACGGCCGTCTTGGTGACGTTGTAGATGACACCGGTCTTGCCGTGGTAGACCTTGTGAGGCATACTATTTTCCAGCCAAGTTAGCCCCGGTTCGCAAAGCGATCGTATCCTTGCCAAGTTCGCAGCTTTCGCTCCTGGGTTCGGTCGGATCGCATCTTCGTGGAATTTGTGCCTTACCCCTTCTGAACAGCACCATTGGCCTTGATGTCAACGATATCGCCGACCCTGCCTAATTGTCAATAATTTGTTGCAATTCGAGTTCGAGACACTGCAGATCGATGCGTACTTGTACTGTTGTAGGTAGGTGGAAAGACGGATCGAACCCTTCTGTCGGAAGTTTCGAGAGAAGGCGTACTGCCATATTTGTTAGTTATGAATTTCCCCGGTAAAATTGAATTATCTTGGTAGAATTGATTAGACGTACTCGAGTACCAGCGCGGAGACCTGCGGCGTGACCCATCTTGCCGGTGTTTGAATGTGGTGAAGAGAAATGTAGAGCGTGATGGAGGTTGATTGATTTCTCTTCTCTCTCTTGATGTCGGCTCTCGAGAAATTCGCTTAGGAATATTTTTGGGGCTTGTGAGCGGTTGTGGACTTTGGAAGCTACTACCCACTGGGGAAAGTTGCCGCAGATTAAGCGAGCAGGCGAGGGGGGGTAACTTCCATTGTATGGATGTACCCAATCAAGCTTAGCCCCACTCTTGCCCTACTCCATTCCACAAATCCACTTCTTTTCTAACTACCATCTTTTTTTTCCCATTCGTTTTCTAAACTCTTGCGCATCTTACGACAACCTCAATTTCTTCATTCCTTTCCCCTCCCAACCACCAGATTATCAAGACAATTGAGTCGCAACCATGGCGCCTCTGTCTTATTCCAAGACCGCAAAGGTCCCCCGTCGCCCTTTCGAGGCCGCCCGTCTGTCAGTAATCACCGGCCACTGAGTTAGAGCTTGTCTCGGCTTAAGTCGATTGTGAACGAGAAAACTGACATGGTCGCCTTCATAGTGATTCCGAGTTGAAGCTTGTTGGAGAGTACGGTCTACGAAACAAGCGTGAGGTTTGGCGTGTCCAGCTCACTCTTTCCAAGATTCGTCGTGCTGCCCGGTAAGTTTTTATTTCCATTCATCTTTACGTATTTAAATGTATCTTAGGTTGCGAAAGCTAATCCGATTCAATATTATAGTCAGCTTCTTACCCTCGACGAGAAGGACCCCAAGCGTCTCTTCGAAGGCAATGCCCTCATTCGCCGTCTGGTTCGTGTCGGTGTGCTCGACGAGTCCCGCATGAAGCTCGATTACGTGCTTGCCCTGAAGGTCGAGGATTTCTTGGAGCGCCGCCTGCAGACTTGTGTCTACAAGCTCGGTCTTGCCAAGTCCATCCACCACGCCCGTGTCCTCATCCGCCAGCGTCACATCCGTGTTGGCAAGCAGATCGTCAATGTTCCCTCTTTCATCGTCCGTCTCGACTCCCAGAAGCACATCGACTTCTCTCTGACCTCACCGTTCGGTGGCGGGCGTCCCGGCCGTGTCCGGAGAAAGAAGGCTAAGGCCGCCGAGAAGAAGGATGACGGCGAGGAGGAGGAAGAGGAAGAGTAAATGCATCATTCACTATGAATTTACGTGGATAGTTTGCCGGTGGGGAAAACGGATTACATTATGGGCGTATGAAACTACTTTAAAGGTCATACCTCAAGGCGTTAGGCCGGGGGAAACGGAATGCATGAAAGAACTTTCACGACCGTTTGATAAATCAATGCTCTATGTGATCCACTGCTTTTGACTCCTTTCGATGTATTATATAATATTGCTTAGTGATATGCCAATACTACCGAACTAATTCGTCATTCCCTAAAAACTTTGCCATGGGATCGTCTGCCGCTGTGCGCTTCCTTCGATACTCGTCTAACTCGGCTTCTGAAATCCCACCCATCATCTCTTCCACCGTGCGCTTCTTGCTTGGTTGTTGTGTAGGTTCGGCTTCATCCGTCTTTTTCTCTACCTCTTCATCCCGAGCAGGTGCTTCTTCGATTAGTTCAACGCCCGTCCTTTGCTTCTCAGCCGCCTCCCAGGCCCCCTTACCCTCTTCTCCCGTACAGTAGCTGTTTCTAATAAAGGAATGACAGCACGCGTAGCCCCATTTGAAGTTGGACCACCAGCTGCCCCAAACCGAGGTGTGGTTATTCACATGGACGTCCTCCGCGTACTTGGACTTGGCCGACGTCCTGGGCGCGCCCTTGATCAGGCCCGACTCGTCGTACTCGACGAACTGCTCCGACTCGGTCACGGCGGCGTCGCGCAGGGCGGCTGGCATCACGTGCTGGTCGCCGCCGTACTTGTCCTGGAGCGCCTTGATTTTCTGGGCGCGCTTCTGCTCGGCCTCTTCGCGCTCCTTCTTGCGGTAGAACTCGCCCGCCGTGGGGTTCGCTTGTAAGTGCTGGCTCGTGTCGCCGCTGTTCTCTTGTTTTTCCCACGCGTACTTCTGCGCCTTTTCGAACTCGGCGGCGTCGCCCGAGGCGCGCAGGTACCCTTCTTCTGCGAAGAGCTGTGCGGCTTTGTCGACGGTGGCGCCGGCGTCGACCATGGTTCGCGTCTTGGGGTCGTATTTGGCTGATTCTAGGTCGAGGTTTAGGAGGTATTTGGCTGTGTCTTCTCGTATTCGTAGTTGTCGCGTCGCGGTGCTCTGGTGTCGCCCCATGTCTGATTCCTCGGCGTATTTCTCGCCCGAGTCCTTGTTGTCCTCCTCACCGTCGCCGTCGCCATCCTCCTTCTCCTTGTCCCCGGATAGCTGGGTGCGGAGTTCATCCATGTGATTGTACCGCTCCACGACGCGGCGGTACTCCTTAGGATCGTAGCCGTTCCATCGGTCTCGCTTGGCATCCCAGCCGAGCTCGACGTCCTGGATGGCTTCGTCGGCCTGTATATCCTTTCCGGTCCATTTGGCGCCTTTCGCGCGGGGGCGGTTGAGGCAGTCCTTCGCCTTGTGCGTCATGGCGCCGCAGTTTTCGCAGGCGCCCTTGCGGTACTTGGTGGCGGCGGGACCGAGCTTCTTGCCGCGGTCGTACCATTTCGACTGGTCATCCTTGGTCTTATGTAATCGCTGATGTTCGAGGTAGTCGGTCGCGTCGCCTTCCTCGCCCGCGTAGAAGGGCCGCTTGCTGATGAAGGACGGGATGTAGATGTTTTCCTCCTTGGAGGCGGCTGATGCCTTGGAGTCGTTCCGCCGCGACGGCGGTGGCGGCGGCGGCATGCTGACTGCGTATTATGTGTGTGTGTGTGTGTATGTGTGTATGCTAGTATGAGCGGTGACTTGAAGGAGTGGAGTGGGTGTCTCGAGAGCGGATTAGGAATTTGATGTTGAAACCTGAGGGACAGAAATATTTTTAGATATACATAGGAAGTTTAGTATGTAATCTGATCTTTGAGGTTAGGTATCTTCGTATCAAAATTGTGGCTAGAATAAAGATTTAAAGGTGTGGCTGGATTGCGGCGTGAGTATGTACCTAAAAGATAGGTAGGTCTGACTTTTGTATTGTATGTACATATGAATATTCTTATCTAATATCAGGCTGATATGCACCTATCAAGTATCTAATATTAGTTTTATCTACATAGTACCTAACCTAGACATCTAACACCTGACAGCGCGTCGCGGTATGAACCTAACTGATTCACTTAACGCGTCCCCCTCGATGGGCCCGCGCCATTGAATATTGAAACAAAGCACCAAGTTCATATCCCACATCCTTTCTGGTATATAATCAATGAGCTCGGGCTAAGTTTATACGAGGTGCTTTGGATTCTCCAAGTATCCTTAAATTGCATCGACGCTATGACGTACAGCACAAATCGCCATGGACGTCTTCCGCGTGCGGCTGAATTGCATAGACCATTATCAAGCTATCCCTACGATATATGACCCTCAACTTCGTAATGATATCCATCTATCCCAATTGAACAAGGAACCCAGAGTTCCGGTTATCAGAGTTTTTGGGTCTACAGAAACAGGCCAGAAAGTGTGCGCGCATATCCATGGCGCATTTCCGTACTTGTACATCGAGTATAACGGGAGTTTGCTCCCTG